TATATAGACTCAATGCAATTCCTATCAAACTACCTAGGGCATTTTTCTCAGAAATAGAACATATAATCCTAAAATTTATATGGAACCAAAAAAGACACCAAACAGCCACGGCAATCCTGAGAAATAAGAACAAAGTTGGGGGGATCACGCTTCCAGGCATTAGAACATACTACAAGGCTACAGTAATCAAAACAGTATATGTTTTAATATATTCTTTTTGCCACTTTTTTTTATCAGCTTAAAGAGGTCTAGGCTGGAATTCAAGAATATTGGAATCTAATCATATTTCAACTTTTAAGTTTTCTACAATCTAGAACAGAAATGTTTATTTTACTTTAACCACTTATGAAATGGGGATGCCAAAACTGACCACGTAAATGCTCAAAATTTGTAAGGTTGTTAACATTCTGGGACAGATTTTCATCCTGACACTCAGGTGATCAGGCCATGTAGCAGAAAATTGAAGCTTAATTACATTTTTCTTTCTAGTTTTCCATCATTCATTTGGTCCACTGGAGCCTAAAGCCACATTTCAATTAGCCTAAGTTGGACAAGTAGAAAAATAATATGAATCTCCACGGAACCCTGTGACTACAACCTGCCCCATTACCAAAAGCAACAAGCATGTGCGACACACACACACACACACACACACACACACACACAGACCTCAGAGTACCTCCTTTTGACCTCACATGGGGTCTTTTTTCTGTTCTTTGACCATGCATTTCTTATCCTTCAAAATTTACATACTCTTCTTAACTCTTATAGATGTATTGCTTATCCTGTCCCTAGTCCTATCTGGTTCTTCTCTGGCTTTTGGTAGCTGTACCTAATAATTTCATAACATCCCTTTCTACTTTCCATAGGGAGATGGTAATGGAGAGTGGAGAGGCTGGAGTTGAGGGCTTGAGTTGAGGATCAATGGCAGGGACATAGCAATGAGAGAACCTAAGCTCCTATTCAGACTGCCCGATCATCATCAGTCCCTCTATTCTCTGTTGACTGGTATACTGATTCTCTAAAGTCACCACTCTTGACCTCAAATTCTAAAATCTTTTATGTCCCAGATCACCTCTCATTCCATTTTCCTCTTCTCTAAAATGTTGTTCTCCTCCCATTCTGTCACCTAGTTTCTGATTTGGTCAGTCTCAAATTAAAGATTTCCCAGATTTAAAATTCTATCTTTTGTTAAAAGACCAATTTCTGGGAGCTTTTCCACAGCTAATACACAAGCCGCACACTTCAAAAGCTCATGAATGTCATCTTTTTATGGTTGGGAAGAGCATAAGGGTCCCATCTATGGACTATGTGATCATGGCAAGAGTGGGCAATGCAGTTAGTGGCAGCAAGTATGTCCTGGTGAGAGCAGTGGTGCTGGCCCATTACATGTTCACCCTGAAGAGGAAGATGAGGCAGAAGACCGAGGTCATTGAGATCTCTGTATCAAAGCCCTGCATCTTCAAACATTGCCTGCCACCTGTGCTGCCATACTAAGACAAAATCATGAACAGAAGAACTCAGAGTACCGCAAGGAAGACTGGGAAACCAAGAAAAAGTCTGTACATGTAAAAATGATGCCAGGATTCTAGAGAAGTTCAGTTTGCAAAAAGAGCCCTATAATAGTAACAAAGTATCTGTGGTTTCATCAAAAAGAGATGCTGCTGAACTTCACATAATCACAAACTTTTATATGACACTAAGTAGATTTTTCTACAAATGGAAAAGATGCCTAACATGTCATAATATTATTGACAGCTGTAAACTGGTTACAGATGGATGTCTTAAAAAGTTATTGCAACTAAATGAAAAATACTATGTTAGTGAAGTTGATCCTGTTTTTACCATAGAAGAGAAGTACCCTTTTATGGTAGAATGGTGTGTTAAATCACATAGTTTCCTTGTTGAACAAGCTTTACCAGAAGTTAAATTTAAAGAAATTATGGAAGAAACCAAGGTTATGCTCAAGAGAGGATATAAAATTTATTTGAGAAGCTCCAGCAGCACAGTATCCCTGTGTTCATATTTTCAGTTGATAATGGAGATGAACTAGAAGGGAGATTATCCATCAAGCTGGTATTTATCATCCAAATGTCAAAGTCATGTTCATTCGTGGATTTTGATGAAAACGAGTGCTCAAAGGATTTAAAGGAGGTTTAACTCTTGTATTTAACAAACTTTATGGTGCCTTGAAGAATGAAGAATATTTCAGTCAATTAAAAGACAACAAATTAAAAAAAAGGAAGGAAAAAAAAGACAATAGCAACACAATTCTGCTGAATCTCAAGAAGATTAAAAATGGTAGATGGAGTCATCAATGTGGAACGCATTCTAAAATTTGAGTATCGAAATGATAGAGTGTAGGAGCTTTTAGGAAAATATTGTATTGGTGAAAGATGGATCATTGGAGGTAGCCAGCTCTGTCTTATTAAGGATTCTATAAACAAGCATTCTTCACTAAGACCTCTCCCCTGTGGGAGCAATTGATGCAAGAATTGTTCATCTCTTTGTCTTGCTGACTCTTATTTATAATACATTCGTGCTCTTAAACCTTTTCTTTTACATTAATTAGTATTTTCAGACATGTTGAATCTGTCAACTGGAAGCTCCTTTTTCTTAACCTCTCTCAATACATTCTCAACTGTATTTTTTAAACAAAGTTGAAAAAAAAATCTTAAAGCCAAAATTAGAACTCCCTACTTTTCTAAAGTAGATTTTGCAGTTTGATTCTCTCATGCATTTTTTGAGGTGTTTTTTTACACTTGAAAAGTTCTTATTAGTCTCAAAAGAACTTTTATGAAATGGTCAAATAATTTTCATGATTTAAGTGTTGCCGTTTTTATAACTAGAGTGTATCATGTTGATGATATCACCACCTCTTGAAATTATGTTACGCTTGCTTATTTCATTTGGAGAAAGTCCGTGTTGAACAGAAAAGACTGGCACTCTGTATCTGGCAGACAAACAAACAAAACTATGGTGTCCACATGGAACTGGTCATTACAAAATGTTCTCTATTGACCTGCTGATAAACATACATGGAAAATCTTTTCCTTTTCAAAGACCCATTTTGCTTAAAGGGGTAGCACTTGTTCAACCATTTATATCTTAGCATAAATTAATTTATCACATTCTTTCTTATAAACAGAATTTGAAGGATAAGATATAAAGCATCAACCCCTAAATATAGGAAGTAAGGGAGATATGATACAGGCAAAAAAAACAAACAAACTGATAAGATTATCCAGAACAAACTGCCTTTATAATTGTACCTAAATCTAGGCCTGGTCCTAATTCATTTTTTGTTTGTTTGTTTGTTTCTTTCTTTCTTTCTTTCTTTAAAGATTTTTATTGGGGAACCGGGGAAGGGGAACAGACAAGTTGCTGTCCTTTTGTTTGTCAGTCTAGTTGTGGAGGACGTTGCTTCGCTGGCCCAAGTTGGCATCATCATTGCGCTCTCCCCGGGTGAGGCAGATCAGTTGCCAGCTTTTGGAAGGCCACTCATGGTGGCTGCTGGCCACTCACGTTGGCTGCTGGCTACACACAGTAGCCCATAGCAACCCACTGCAGCAGTGGCTGCAGCCTATGCCGCCGCTGGCGACTCATGGCAGCCCAGCTCCAGGTTGAGCTGTTGTTCAGCATCTTAGCTGTAGAGGGTAGTGTCACTGGCCCTCATATGTGGGATCTGAACCGGGGCCCTCTGGCATCCCAAACCAGCTCTTAACGAACACACCACTCGGCCTGCTGGTCCTAATTTGTTTTTATAGTTGTTGCTCTTTGTCAAATTCCTGGCTTAATTAAAAACCAGCATTAAAAAATACTCAGTTCATCATCATCTATAGACCTTGGTATTCTGTCTAGAACAAAAAAATAGTCAAGATTACAGGTGCAGGGTCAGAGAATTATACTGAAGACAAAAACACCTTCCTGGCCTAGTGAAATTCAAAATAGCTATGTATAAAGCCACTCTTACATGTGGGGTGAATCCACATGAGAGTCGCTATGACAGATTATCCTATGAGCAATCCCTGGAAAGCACTGAAGTATACTTCATTTGAAGGATCTGATAACATACCTTTGTCTGCACTGCAACTGCCATTGGCATTCAGGGAGAAACCAAGAAAGGGGAGGGCTAAGGGTTTTTTTAATGTTTGTTTTATTTTATTTTGGTTTTGCTTTTGTTTGTTTGGGGTTGGGCACACAAGAAAGCACTTGACTTGGAAAGCCATGTATGCTAATGTATTAAATAAATGAGCATACTAATCATGTATTACTGTAGTTATTTCACTTGACATCACATAATAGGCCTGTTATCAAATACAGATATGTGAAATTTGGCAAGAAGTGGATTTTTCTTAACAGAGATGGGGCACTAAACAAAATGAGTTGATAGATCTATTTCAAAAGCCATATATGTTGCCTGAGTTTGCTACCATCCACTTAAAGGAGAGGTTTACCTCTGAATGCATCAGAAAGGACTCAGAATCTAACAGGCCTATGACCATATGGGTCTGATAATTCACTATTAACACAGTTCAGTTTTCACAGTTAAACAAGAGTGTCAGCTTACCCACAAATACAAACTATTTTGTTCCCCTGTGCATGTTCTACCAAAGACTTCAAAGTCCTATTTTCACCTTTTTGTGATCAAAGTCCACCATCACACACCTGGGCTTTCATTCTCTCCTATTCTTTTAGCTCATTTATGCAATGGACATGAGAACAGTCACAACACATTCCCTGTGGTTGTAAGAACCCCTCCTAATGTTTTTCCTGCATTCCTTCTTCCTTCTCCTAAGTGGCTATGATCAAAACCTTCCCAAGCATGCCCTAAGCTCCCACTTTATTTTCAGACATTCTATGCATGTGGTTCAATGATCTTACTTTAAATGTTCATTAATATCCCTTTTTCATAATTATTAGATTCAATTAATGGTCAAGAAGAGAAAATAACTAGTCTTATATAGAGTAATTCTGCCAATATGTTCTTCCTTTATCAGCTTCATTGATGCCCAGTGAAACATACACTTCATTCCCCTCAAGTGCAGGCTCAACACTTTATGGTGAGTACTTGGGGAAGACTTAGGATCAAGGAAGGTAGTGGTCTGCTTTATCAGGGCAAAGATGGAAAAACAAGGACTGAGAAAAAGCCAATCTCAGATAAGTATTCAAAAGTGCTATTTGATGATGAAAATGACAGTGATGATGAAAATAACAATGAATGAAACTAAAATTCTTCCCAGTCACTCAAAGATGATAGAGACCAAGTTTTAGATTTTTCTCTACTTGGTTTTAAAAATGAAATTTATATGATAGCTCTTTTTTGCCAATTAAATCCATTAAAATTTATTTTAAGTTTTATTTTTTCACTGGAAATGGAATGATTTATCAGCATGGATTTGTCTACTTTAATATTGCAAAGAAATATAATTTTTTTGGTGTTTTCAAACACATTAGAAGGAGGAGAATCAGTATTTTGATTGGCTGGACCTCTGATACCCTGTTATCAAATACAGATATGTGGAATAGGGATAGACCTCATCTTTCCAGAACCTCACTTAAGACATTTTACTGTAACTACATAAATGTCTTCTGGAGAACCTTTAGCAGATATTGTTTTGTTGTATGTGTTGAACAGCTTCTCTTGTTTTTGATAAATTAATATGAAATTTCACTCCTTTGATAGCTGTTAGACCCTAGGATCCTAACCTTGCTGTAGATTGGTCCTTAGTAAACCTTACACATAATATTTTAAGAATATTTGAGCCATTCCAATTGAGCTCTTCCTAATAACAAGTGAAATTCAATCATTGTTTTCTACCATTTGATCAGGTTGAGATAACTATTACTATCAGTTCCGATATCCCCTTTGCATCCCCAGATGATGTCTTCATCAGCACAACCGAAGTATTTTCAGAAGTTCCCACAACTGCCAATGGATCTACTAAAAAGAATTACATCCGTATCACTGGTGAGTCATTTGCCAGTTATTTTTTGGATTTTATGTTTTATTCACTCAACAAATATTTATTGATTGTCTACCATTTGTTAGGCACTGTGCCAGTTATTTGGTAGACAGTGAAAACACAGGCCTCCTGAAGATTATAATCTATTAGAGATGATGTATAGTAAATAAGTAACCATACAATGAAATTTATTTGTGACAAATGCTATGATATATACAAGGTGTTGTTGGAGTCTAACAGGAAGAACTGATTTTTTTTAAGATTTTATTGGGGAATTGGGGAAGGGGAACAGTGTTGGGGAATTGGGGAAGGGGAACAGTCAAATTGTTATCCTTGTCTTAGTTGTGGAGGGCGCAGCTAGCTCAGCTCCAAGTCCAGTCAACATCCGGCTGCTTGTTGGCAGCTCACTGCCGCTCAGCTCAAGGTGCTGTGTTTAATCTTAGTTGCGGGTGAGCATAGCCCACCATCCCATGCAGAGTCTAACCAGAAACATTGTTAGGAGCACGTGCTCTCACCATCTGAGCCATCCTGCCACCTGTTGGCAACTCAGCAGCAGCTTAGCTTGGGCGCAGCTCACTGGCCCATGTGGGAATCAAACCTGCATCCCTTTTGCTCAAAGCTCACGCTCTTAACCAACTAAGCCACTCAGCCAGCCCCAGAAAGATCTGATTTTAATTGAGAAACAGAAAAGGACTTTTGAGAATATGTTTAAATTAAAATCTGAAAAATGAGTAAGAAATAGCCAGGTGAAAAGTAGTGAGAAACAGTTGTCTTGTGAAAATATAGTCTGAGGCAAGAAAGAGATCATCAGAACAAAGAGTATTCCTGTCATTCAACCAATAAAATTTTGTCAATGCTAAATATAATCCCTTGTTTTATATCAAGAGAGAGCAAGGGATTCAATAAAGTTAGGACCCTCCCAGTATTGGCCTTGATTATAAATTCAGAGTCATAATCAACTCTTTTACTTCTAAGAGTGTTCACCTGACTAATGAACTCTTCACCTGGGTACTCAGCTTATTTCATATTGAAGATTATACAGCCCTCAGGTCATTAGAGCATCATCCTGCACACAACACTGCAATACAGCTCCAAACTGATGTCCTACCAATATATCTTTAAGGCATTGGTGACTTCAAGGACTTCCTACATTAGAGAGGAGGAAAGATGGGAGCCTTGCTTCTGCAGAGACATTCTTGAAGTCAGTGGTCTCATTTTCTATATTTGATTGGGAGAAAATTTGTGAACCTTGAGATAACACCCATATAAAACCTTTTGTCCTTTCATTTCTCTAAAACTTGGGGGGAAAAATGTTATATCCCACCATATTACTAGTGTACAGCCTAGTAAATTTTAACTTAACTAAAACAGAACTTTGTGTAGTCCTGAGTTGGCAGTCCATTATTTCTTTTGTGATCATGATACTCTGCTGGTTTGAATTACTGTGAACTCTCTAGCCACCTGTACATACACAGCATCACATGGTTATATACTGTAGGACTATGTGAGCTTCCAGGGTACCATCATTGTCTTCTATGACAGGGCTGAAGTAGGGTGAGCATCAGGAAGACCTCAAACCCCTGGATGTATATGTAAAAGGAAAAGTCTTCCATACTGATAACCAATGTTCACAAGACACGATCATGTAGCTGCTGTCTAAACTATATAAAACAGAGAAAAGATTTGGTAATTAACATTTTAAATCCAGTTTTTTAGCCTGTGTATTTTTTTTTTTAGACTTTGCTGTATGAAAAGCAGTATGATAAATCTAGGCAACAAAAGAAATTAAAAACCTTAGTGTCTACCTGCAAGCAATTTATAATCTAGTCAAAACAATAAAAGAAACTCAATCCAGATAATTCTGATATGAAAATACACCATTTACCCAAATGATCTTTGTAATCTAAAGAGCTAAAGATCTATGTGTAATGTATAAGGAATTTCGCTGGAATATTGTTAGAAATAGCAAAAACCTAGAAACCACTTAACCACCTAACAGTAAGAGACCAATTAACTAAACTATGGTAGATACATACTTTGGGAAATTAGCCAGTCTTTTAATCAAATGAGGTAAATCCCTACATTTTTTTGGAAAGTATTCCAAGAATGTTTTTTTAAGAGAAAGAAGCCAAGGGACAGACCAGTATGTATAGTGTACCCCCATTTGTAATAAAAGGGGTATATATTCATGCTACATATATATGTTTATGTATGCATAGAAAATTTCTGGTAGGATACATAATTAACAATTGAAAGTTACTGCCTCTGACACTTGACAACTGGCACCTGAAGTAGTAAAGACACTTCCTTTTCATCGTAGTTTTATATTTCTGTACTCTTTGAATTTTTAATGTGATCATAAATTATATTTGAAAAGGAAAAAATTAAGTAGCTATATAATTGTAAATAGTCCCTTTTATTTTCTTCCAGGTAGAACCAGAGAATCTTATTTTTTAAGAGAGTTAATTTTCTTCTTTCTTCATGTTAGAGAAAAAGTAAAACATTCAGAATGTGTATTATATTGCTTCTGGTATAGAATCCACAATGTTTGAAAGTCTTTGATTCCTGCAGTTTGACTTGGTGTTCAAATATTAGAAATTTAATGAATGAGCTGAGTATAGGTATAATCAGCATGGATAAGAAAAAGCAGTCCATTGATTGCTCACCAATAGAATTTTAGCCAGCCCTTTACTTTCAATTTCCTCCTTTTTCAGACCATAGAAACAACAAAATTGACTGACTTTAGTTTTACCCTTTTTGTCCCTTCTCCTGTTTCTATTGCGGAAATGGCTACAGGAGAAAGCAAGAAAAAGAGGGAAAGCAATAGAAAAAGATTAGAAAACCTCTACCCTGGATATGATTCCTTGAGTGACATTCAACTGAGAAGCCTTGGATGATAGTTCTTTCCGCACCACAGCTCCATAAGTCTTAGCTAGGCCTTCTCAGCTTTGATCTTTTGGGGCTTCAGAAAGTTATAATGCTTTGTACTCTGTCTTCCCCTTCCTAACACACTAATAGTCCATAAAGCACTTAAGGACTCATTCAAGAATAAGAAAAACCAAAACTAGACCATCACTTCACACATAAAATTTTCTTTACTGGAGTAAATTTGGAATACATATTTACAGATTATTATTCTTATTTATTTATTTATTCTTGCAAATAACATTTCATTGGGCACCACGTGATGGGAATTATCCTGGGCCTTGGGAAAATGAAAGGAAAGATCAGTTATAGAACATCCTAACAAGAAAGACATTCATGTAAGAAAGTAATTGTATAAACATCAAGCCATAAATGAGAACAAGGCACAGACATGACCCCAGAGCATGACTGTGACCAGTGAATACCTCATGGCCCTTGGAGAAAACATGTGTCAGGTAGGTGAAACAGTTCAGTTAATCCTAATTTCCAGTTGCCAAAGTTCGGTGTTAAAGTTCCTCTCTCTTCATGTCCTTTTCAGATGTTGTGGTTAATAAGCCCAAGGATGGAATGTCCTGGCCAGTTATTGTAGCAGCTTTACTCTTTTTCTGCCTGGCATTGTTTGGTCTTGGAGTGAGAAGATGGTGTCAATACCAAAAGGAAATGTGAGTGTAATACTAACATATGCAAAAACAGTCACTTTTTCAGTACTCAATATTCACTCAGCACTTTAAATATCATTCCTATACCGAGTCCCTCTTCTACGTATTTAACTGAGGAAATAAGGCCCAGAGAAGCTCAGAAAGGCTGTGTAGCCTTCTCAGCACCACACAGTTGGGATTAGATGCACGACTTCTGACTTGGTATCCCCTAGGCTGTAACACTGCCTAGGCTGTAACACTCACCAGGTGTAACAAGTCAGTGGGCATGAAATAAAAACTGAGCCTCACCTCACCTCAGAATGGAAAATAATTTTTATTTTAATCTTCACTATTTTTTTAATTTTCATGCATCTCTGAACTGCGTGGGCCTAGCAGGGCCTAGATGCTCAAGTGTGAAATTGAGTGAGAAAGGTAATTTTAAGAAATTTCCAGCTGCTTTTCAGCAGAATGAGCTTTTACTACCCTTTTCCTTTTTCCCCAAGTAAAAAAAAAGTAAACAGTTTGCTACCCTTTTTTGTCTTACTGAAATATTTTCCAGAACTTTTCTTTCTCCATTCAGCAGTCTGAAATGACATATAAGGTCAAGCTTCACTTCTCTGACTTGGCTATTTTTGGATCACTCCAGACTGGGCTATGATTAGAGGAGATTCTCATAATACATAGCGCTGATCTTCCATGTATCTTATGACTACTATCTAATATAACATTGACCACTGCACAATACTTTCTTCTGCTTTGCTTAGAGTATACTTGAAGACTCTATAAACATGTGCAGGGAGTGTTTCATGGTGAATAAAACACTAAATTAGTAGTCAGAAATTCTGTTTTCTTTTGTCCAATGCTACACTCTGGCCACCACATGACCTTGAGAAATTTATAATTTCCCTGAAAACAAAAAATGGAAGTGCAAATTTCTTAGAATTTTATCTACCTTTGGTATATATTGTCTCCACTAAACATCAGAAAGCCGGGTAATAGGCATTAGGGATTTTTATATTAAAATGAGAAAATGGTAGTCTGAAAATCTGAGTTGAAGTTTTTGTTGTTCTGTATTCAAATGTCTGTGTTATATAGAAATGAGAGACCAGCTAGATAGATAGATAGATAGATAGATAGATAGATAGATAGATAGATAGATAGATATAGATTGATCTAGAAAAGTTAAGGTACTATGAATTGACAGACAAGGGTGGAGGTGTTTGAGTCACAGACATAAGTTTACTCACAGATATATTTCTGTTTCTTAATATCAAGAAGGCTGGAGCATTTGTATAGCTAAACCCCACACTCACCTGTATGCTTGATGCATTTCAGACAAGAGATGAGTTGTGCTAATAGAGAACAGACTGTATAGAAAGATGACATTAAGAACATTCACTGACTAAAAGAGAAGAGCTTCTAGCACTATCCATCTAGCACCAACCACCTCAGCGATTCAGAAAAGCTGTACCTCCTACCTTGACTGTATCCTCACAGTACACGTTGAGTGAACTGGGGGTATGGTTAGCAAAGGGACTATTTGAAAAGCTTCAGTCTTTGGTCCCAGAATTTTTAAATTTTGTTTCTGAGGGATGTTTTAATCCACATAAGAGACACACTTCTTCTCTTAGGAAGCAGTTGCCATAAAGAGTATAGGTTCTGGTTAAAAGACTCATTGCTGGTCTGGTTCTCTTGAGCAAGTTGCTTAAAACCGCTGAGCCTCATTTTTATCTAAGAAATGGTGACAGTAATATCCAATTTCTCAGTACAAGTTAAATAATGTTGTAATAAAAGTGCTTTGCAAACTATAAAATACCATTAAATATTAATTAGTGATATTATGATAAAGCTAATAAGCAGAAAGTTACGCAAGAAAAATTCTGAGAGAACTAGTAGGGCATGTCTCTCTCTGTTTCCTACTTTAAAGTATTTTTTACATATATATGTAAATATGTAAATATAAATATATATAAATATATAAACATATATATACGTATATATATGTATATATATATATATATATATGTATATGTCCTTCAATCACCCCCTCACATTCTTAGCATTGAAAGAGCAATGTTTTATTTGTAGCATGGAAAGACCCCCGCCTTTCAAGCCACCTCCGCCTCCCATCAAGTACACTTGCATTCAAGAGTCCATGGGAAATGATCTACCTTTTCATGAGATGGAAACACTCTAGTCCTTTGAGATTTGCCATGCAATGAAATTCTGCTCAAGTCCTATTGAAAAAGTCGATATTTTGCATTATTAAATATTCACCTTCTAGCCAAGCCTCTACTGCAGCTGAAATGAACATCGGAAGAGAATGACCTGTTTTCTCAGCAACTCACCCCCTTTCATCTGCATATGCCTTTAAACAAGAATGAGAGGGTGTTGTGCTGACACCCAATGCAGTCTGTAGGAATGTTCTTGCTTATGTAAGAAGTGCAAATTAGGCTGCCGTCATTAAAAAATACTTGCAGTGTTTTTATTTTTCATTTTAATTCTTTGATTGAGGTGATGACAATGGTTTCAAGCATATGTCAGTACCAGATTCTCTTCTCTGGGCTTCTGCCAACATTCTACACTATTTGTCAAATTGTGATAATCTCTGAGGCTTGCTGCATTTCCAAGGAAAATTACAAGAAGAAAATGTGGAAGTTCTAGCAAGATTCCAAATAATGGGAAAGTACAGTTAGTCTTCATACTGAAATTCTGTTGTTTATTTTTACTGGAGGGAAACAGAATATCTTGCACAAGAACCCAGCTCCAATCCTTTTTCACCCTTCCTCTCATCATGTTCAGCCCAGGATCCTGCTCCATGGGATAAAGAAGGATCGATATGAGCTAAGAGTGACCTCATTCTCAGCTTTACATGTGTGTGCCCTGTTCATCCAATCTGCCTGTTTTGATATATCTTGAAACAAATAAAGAGCCTCAAATCAGACTAGCATTGATGAATTAACCCTGCTCATCCCAATCTTTTATAAAACAATTCAAAAAGAACATATAGGTGATAGAGGGGAAAAAAATACCTAGTCAGCCTGACCCACTCTGTATTCAGCAACAGTTTGTGAGTGAATAAATTACTAATGCCCCTTGTCCCTCTAAACCTCCCCACACACCCCTGTCCCAGGGGGGAAGAGAAGCTGTTACTGATATATACAAGAGCAAATTCTGTGTGGGCTTTAGTCTCAAAAAGAACCTTTAGTTCATTTTCAGTGTACTTATCCCTGAATGCATATGAGCATAACTTGGAGAATTTTTTTTTAATATCATGGCTGTCCCTCCAGATCAATTAAATTAGAATCTCTGTGGAGGGAGGCCCAGGCATCAGCACTACCAGATGATTCAATGTTCAGCCAAAGCTGAGAACTGCTGAACTAGTGGAAGTCCCTTCTCATTAATCAGAATCTTGGTTAAGTCCTTAACTGTTGTCATGGCCAGCCTCCAAGATGTCCCCCATGATTCCTCCCTCTTATATAGTCCCCTCTGACACTGAATACAGATGACTTGTATAGCTGGTCAGGACAAGAGTAAGGCAACAAGACACCAAGTGTGTAAAATATAAGAAGATATTCACATTCAGGGTCATGCACTTACAGAATCTTGTAAGTACCAGTCCCAGGCCTGGTATAACCAATACAGTACTGCAGAAATGACCAGAGTGTGACTTCCACAGCTAGGTCATAAAATACATGTAGCTTCTGCCTTGATCTCTCTTTGATCACTCACTTTGGAAGGAGCCAGTTGCCATGCTATGAGGACACTCAAGCAGCCCTATTGAGAACTCCACCTGTCAAGGAACTGAGGCCCCCTCCTATCAACAAGAATCAGCCAGCCAGCCATGTGATTAAGCTGTCTTGGAAGCATCACCTCCAGCCTCCACTCAAGTCTTCAGATAACTGCAGCCTCAGTTGATCTTTTGACTGGAACCTTATAAATGCCAGAACCACCCAACTAAGCCTTCTCTGAATTCCTGACCCACAAACACTGTGTGAGGTAATAAATACTTATTATTTAACACCAGTAAGTGTAGGTATAATATATTATTCAGTAATAGATAACTAATACAGTCCAATAAATGGAAAAACAAACTAATGTTTTCCTGCCCTAATGACCCTCAATTCCTCATTAGCTCTCAAGAAAGAAATAAGGCTAACTTCATATATATGACTATTGCTTCATGTACAGTTATTTTTATTTAATACAACTTAATCGTCAGTAAATTGTGTAAAGGTCATTGTGGTTTTACTTTGCTATTTTATTAGGAGACATAAATACGAGTGGAGGTATTGGGATAAAAAGTGGAAGAATTTGAGTGTGTTTAGATTGTTTTAGACAGTTTACATACATAAATAAAACATAAGTCATGGGATTTTTTAATCTATCATATAACAGGTGTCTCACAGTGTTTTTGTATTAGCTTCTCTTTGAAGCACCCTGTTTTGGTTTTATAAGTAAGTCCTGGTCAGCATTTGTAAAATCATTCCCAACTTGAATAGAATGAGCAGGTACTTACCCAAGGAGGGGTACGTGGTCAGTGGTTCAGAGGAATTTTTCACAAATCTGCAAAATAGAGGGACTCTAGATCCTTTTCAGGCAGTGCTACCATCTTGACCTCCCTCATTTGATTAAAATAAGTTTTACCTGTACCTTTAAATTGTGTGCAAGTAAGTTCATGAAGGCTGTCTCAAATCAGCAACATGTCTCTCTCAAAGTGCATTCAGTTATGTCTCATAGGAGGAAAAGTAGCACTGTAGACTCTAATCCCTAAGGTCTCTGCATGTCTTCATCACTGCCTTTATTTTCACTGAGAAGAAGCCATACATAAGCATTTTCATCACTCATTTCCAAAGAGCGGTGTGTTAGATTGTTGTTCAAAACTATTCACTTGCTTATTCACCTGCATCGTGAGCACTCCTTGATTTGGGGCTCGGCTGTGTGATTTCCTTTAGGCAATGGAATATCATAGACATGACTCATCCAAGGCATGAATGGTGCACATATGATTAGACTCACTCTCGTTTTCTCTGTCATTACCATAAGAAGAACATTTTCAGACTAGCCTACTAGCTCCAAGAAGAAGATGACAGACTCGTGAAGAGGAGTAGGACCACTCAAACCAGGCCCAATTTATGTAGGTCTACAAACCTCCAGACTACCACAAAGGTACATAAATTAAATATTGTTGTGTGCCACTAAAATTGTGTGATTGTTACATAGCGTTATTGTAGCAATCGTTAACCTATATTTGTAAGTCCAGAGGTAGGCATATTTTTGCTCACATTCAGGTGCCTAGGGCGAGATAAAATGTGTGCCTCAGTCAAAAATAGTCTTCCCTTTGATTCAGCATGTTTTGTTTTAACTGAAGAACATATGGTTGGTTTGACCAAATTAACTTTGCAGTATAGATCTTTAAAATCTTAAAATATTTGACCAAGACATGCATTAGAGGTCATATTACAGATAAGGAGTTAGAAGCCCTGTGAAATTGATTTGCCCAAGGTTACATAATTAGAAGTGATAGAGCCAAAATGGTGGCCTAGCTCTCTGATTTCCATTCCAGAGTGTGATGACTCTCCTTTGTACACTGATATTTAATTACTTTTCTATCTCTTTCTACTGTAGATGAGAGCTGTCTCATGTACATTTAAGTAAATATTGATTTTTTTAGTGCCCAGGTTGTATATTTAAAAAATTACTGACAGAAAACAAATGTAGAAATAATTGAGCCCTGCGGGTGGGAGGGCCAAGAAAGTGTGAAGAAAAATGACTAGGAAATGAAAAATGAAAAGAAAGTAATCAAGATCAGAAGCTGGAATGAAAGTTTAAAGAAACTGACCAAGGCCAAGATAATGAAAAGGACATTGTCTCAGAGGTTCTGAGCAGGGAAAGAGGTTCTGGAAGGCAGCCCTCTTGGCACTCCGATTTAGGAGTGGCTTTGGCTTGAACCTGGAGGTTGAATCTCTGAAAAGAGACTTTTTTCTGTGAGGGCTGACATATGCGTACACAGCTCGAGTTTTGACAATAGCCGTCATGGCCATGTCAACCAGCTGAAGCTTAAGTGTCCAACAGAGAGAACTGAAGTGGTGAGCAAAAGTTACGACTATTGGAGAGACATTAACTGGTAAAATGGGCTGATGTCCCACCTAGAAACACATATTGAGATGGTGGCAACAGGACATTTTATTTCCCAGCTTCTGCAAAGGGTCTTTTTATTCCTGGATTTTATGATTACTACCAAGGTTCCATGGTGCAGTCAGGAAGACATGACTAGGGAGCAGGAAAATATGGCCTTAAGCAAGATCAGAGCCAGGGAACACTTGAAATTACTCTTAAACCTTGTCTGTTGCTTCTGTGATGGGTCTGGACCTTAGTTGGTTGCAGATTAACGTAGGAATGAGAATGATAGAATCTTATGTTTTTCTTCCCAACCAGTGTCTTTTTACTCTTCTAACCTCTGTTATATTCTTTGCCTGGGCTGCTCACTCAGATTCCTCATGTTTGCTCAAAAGCTCTGTGAGATTATGACTAAAGGAAGGGACATTTAAGAGAATGAAAGGGAAGAGTAACAAACCCAAGATTACAACATAAAGGAAAGAACATGGATGGGATCACATCCCTTGATAAACGTCAGGAAAGTGTGCACATTTGCCCTTAGTTGTGTCAGGAATTTCCCCATTTACTGTCCAAAGAAGTCAGACCACCATATAAAACTGATTATAGTATCATGCCATTTAGCTATCACTAGCAAATACTCAAAACTGCTGGGAAGACAGGGTGGAGGGGATGGAACAAAAATTACATGAACTGTGAAGAGAAATTTGATAGTGGACCTGAGAACCATGTATGAGAGTTCACCTCTCTATTCTGCACTTTCACTCTTCAGGACAAAAAATATCTGTTAATGCTGAATGGGAAGAGGAATGGAGATTTGAGAATTCTCTCTATGGTAGGACCACTAGTTTGGGTTCAGCATAATTCTGCTCTTATAGATAACTGGGTTATGTTGGATTTTTCTTATACATAAAGCTGTTGCACTGATTCAAAGATCTGAATCTGACATAATTATGAATAGGAATTGAAATTAATTTCTGTGGCTCGTTAACAGAAATGAGTGACAAGCACTGCCCCGGAGTACCTCTTTTGGATTGCCAGTGTGGGGCTTTTACATTTCACACTCAAGAAACTGATATAAAAAACATCTAAGGATCACTCCAGGCTTTCAGGGAGTATAGTGTTTAATGTGAGAGACAAACATTTAAACAAATAAATACAGTACAGTGTGATACATATGAAATAAAAGTATGTACAAAGAAGAGAAAAGAATAAAGAAGAAGGTATCATTTCAAGGATAGAGTTGATAAATACTTTTTAAAGGGTTCAGAAAGGAGGCCATGAATAGAGTCAAAGGCACTGCAATAGAGAACCTGAGCTGATATCTGAGACACAGATATGGGACTTGAAAACCTTACCTGAGGATTATGCCAGGAGTACAAGGAAGGCTCAATAACAGAAAATCTCTTAATATAATTCACCATATTAATGGGGCTTAGAAGGAAAACCATAAGATTAATCTCCATAGATGATTTTAAAAACTTTGGCAAAATTCAACAACCATTCCTAGTAAAAACTCTTGAGAAAATGGGACATATTTGTCTCTGTATCTATAGCTGTTTATATATAGCTATATCTATATACATACATATATACATACACTATTATTATAGTGTATAGATATTATAACTATAGAGTTATATATACACATACATATGCTAGAATATATACTATACTATGGTTGTAGTATATACATACATATAATATGTACAGAAGGTGCCAAAAAAGGATACACAGATTAAGAAATGAAAAAACTGTACTAAAATTGTAATACTCAATATATATTGATAACAAATGATGAATACAAGCCACGTTTGACTTTTACAA